ATTCTGTTTTCCTAATATGGTTCACAGCGATCTTGAAGCTTGTAAGTTAATGAGTCTATTGATGGTTAGATATGTTTAAAACTGGACCAAAAAATGAATTTTAAGCAATTTTAAATACTCTTTAAATTTAAATAAAAAATTAAAGGTATAAAAATCGTGCGATTCAAACCATGAAGATTTCTGTCCACCGTGCTGCTGTCACGAATCTCCCTCACGCAGGCAAGCGCTCCCGCATTCCCACGAGCTCTCCCCGTACCAAACGTGTACGCGTCAATCAGTCCTCTACTTAAACCATCACCTGTGCCCTGGTCATCGCTCACGATGGAGTTCTTCTCTCAGAGCTACTCTTTTGCCTTTCGGCGGCTTCTCTCCTGGACCTTGTCCCTGCTTTTCCCGACTGTCGCTCGATTTGGTACCTACGCCTGTTTTTCGCACTCTCGGATCCTGACCCCAGCCAGTCTCTTCGTTTACGCCTCCACCTGCCGATTCCACACCGACGCCTCTTCTACGCCTCACCGGACCCCGACCCCAGCCTGTTTCCTCGACTACGCCTTCGCCTGCCGATTCAGTGCCTACGCCTCTACAACGCCTTCCTGGACTCGGACTCCAGCCTGCTTATTCCGACTACGCCTAGCGCCAACCCTACCAAGGGCACCGCATTGGATCTCCATCCTCCGCAGTCAGTCCTTGCGTGATAAAATATACAGGTATGCAAGAGAATGCATTCAAATTTGTCCATCTTCATTGCTACAGTTATGGTGAAGACAACGATAGAAAGAGCTTCAATTGTAAAAGCTTTTCAATAAAGACTTGATTGTTTTAACCCTGCAGGTTCGTATTTGAAACTGGGATAGTAATTTAGGTGCACGTCTCAATTCTTTACCTAGAGAATAATATTAAACTAGTTAAGATGGCGCCTTTAAATGTAGCTCCTCAGAGTGCTTTACAAGAAAAGTAAGAAAACGGTTAACAAAGGTAAGAGGTACCAAAATAACCACAAAGAAACACAAGGGATTTAGAATATGTAAGGAGCACAGAGATACCAATGAAGTAAAAGTCTTTCTGAAGAATGTTTTGAGTCTGGGTTTAAATGTGCTCATTGTAGGTGACTCTGATATTCCAGAGCTCTGGGACACCGCAAGAGAAGTCTGTCACCCACAGTGTGTAGACAAGCTTGGTGGACCAACAGGAGATCGGAACGACGAACAGGATCAGGAGACGAATGAAGATTATGAGGTAGGAAGCAGGAAGATAATCAGGCAGACGGGTACTGAGGTGCCATGAGCCTTATAGGTGAGCATGACGTTTTTTAAGTCGACGTGAAAACTGATAGGAAGCCAGTGCAGGGACTCCAGGACGGGAGTTATGTGACCACTTGCGTGCAACCCAGTCAGGATTCTGGCTGGACATACTGAAGTTTGTTCAGTGCAGATTTAGATACTGTAGAGACTAGGGTATTGCAGTAAAAAATCCTAGAAAAGACCAATGTGTTGACTTGTGTTGTAGCTTTACATCTATAGTCAGAGGCAATATAGGACGTAGTCTGGTGATATTTGTTATGGAATAAGGATGTTTGCACATGTACTCAAACGTCAAGGTTGGATCAAATATCACCCTCGACTTCTCCACCTGAGATTGAAATGGAAGCACAGTGCCATCCACAGAGAGTTACTGCATTGGCTTTACAGAGGGGAGGTGTCGAGAAGCATAACTTCAGTCTTGTTGCCATTTAACAGAAGGAACTGTTTGTCACCATGATTTTGTGTCTGAGATGCCATTAGACAGTGCAGAAACACTAACTTTAGTGTCACATGTAGTATAGGCTTGAATTTCAGTATCTTCAAATAGAACTGATATTATGTTTATAATGGCAGAGAGCAGTTTTTTTTTTTAGTTGAAGCTGTAAGATGTAAGACATTGGGATGATTAAATACAGAGGAAGAACTTGACCCAGGGCTGTGAGGGTTGTGATGATCAGAACAAGAGGACAAACAGCCTTTTCTCTCCCCCAGAGTTTTTCTGAGTCAGATGTCAAACAGATCTTCCTGTGAGCATGACGTAGTCAACATGTCAAGAGGTTTTGAGATTGTGGATAGGAGTGCTTAAAGCACAGATGCATTGACAGATTTCTGAATTTGTTTCTAAAGCTGGGGAACACATCAAAAGTATACATTAGTTAACCAATTAATGTGCTTCGTTAAGGATAGTATGTTTTTTAAATGGATCTTTGTGCTCCATATGATTTCTTTAATTTAACAAATTAGTGTATTTAGAAACTGATTTAAGTTACGGTATACATAACCCTGTTGAACTGCGGCTCTTTAGCAATAAAAATCTGTCACGGATGCCGGAAGGGATGAACCGTGGAATGGCAGGAGAGCGGAAAAAGACCCTACGTGTAGCGGCGAGACGGGGGTTAGCCCGGGCTCAGCAGTTCAGGAAATGCCGTATAGAAACCTGTGCCCTCAGGCCACGGATGTGGGGCGACCTTGTGCTAGGTGGGTCTCAGGACATCTGAACCTCAATGCTGAGCAAAGGTGAATGAGTGAGCTGGAAATATACAGCCCCAGAGAGAGAGACACTGGAAGGACAGCAAAGCACAGGAAACCAGGGATAGGACAGAGTATGAGCGCCCTCTAGCTGTAGAGGGCATAACAATCTCTCTGTCTTCAGGCTCTGTAATTGTGTGTATTAGAAGTATAAATCACTGATACATGATGCCCACTGGTGGTTTTTCCTCTGATCTTTCTGTGGTGTTTAATATTTGTCTACAGATAAAGTACAGTATCTTAACAGTATGTGAGGTAATGTCTTTAAGAATTTTTTATGGTATTACATTTTTATTTAACAATTAAGAACACGTCAATACTACTACAACTCCCAATACACCACTCCTCTCTGACATTTAAGAATAGAAATGTAGTTTAAAAAAGTCACAACACAAACTGTATCAGAAACAAATGTATTAAATTCATACTCTTAAACAGACAAAAACAATTTACACTGTTTGTTTAGCAAGGGAAGGTAACCACAAAATTCCCTAATCAGACACAAATCATCACAGGTTTTTTTACAAATCTTAAACAATGATCATGGTAAAAATTATTAGATCACAACTAAAATAGGCCAAGATACTACAGTACCCAAAAGATATGAAATGTTTGGTTTTTTTTTTACATTCGGTAATTTTAAGGTAGCTGTGAAGAAATCACTCACGAAAATAGTGGAGCTCAAAAATATGCTTTTCATTTACAGGATCTTTCACCAGTTTATTCTTGCCTTGTTTCAATGATTGACTTACAAGTATGTTACATACATCTGCAATAGGATAGGATAAAGTTCAGTTCTTCTCAGAATTGTTCATGTTAAATAATTAGTGATGTCACTGTTTCTTTTGTGGATTTTGTTG